CCTTCAGCAACACACGCAGGGAAGAGTTTTACGGCAAATTTTAACCTCATGTCCTCTTGGCTCCCCCAGTCTATTCAGACACTGGCCGTCTGGACTTGGGCGTGGCACATGCTTGTGGAATGGCTTCATGGCCACTCGAATGGCCCTTTCCAAGGTCAGACGGGCTGCTCCTAGCTCTGGCCGGCTCGCCACTTGTCAGTTAGCTAGGTCCCCTGCGGAGGAAGCAGAGCTCCACAACAGGGATAGGAGGAGGCGACTGGGTGGGCACTAGGACCCAGCGGTGCCCCAGATTTTCAGATGCCCCACTGTGATATAGTGGGGGTGCTGTCTGCTCTGTAACCCGGTGTTCCCACCTGAGTGTGCTGGGATGTGTGATTCCCACTGGCTCACCCACATGTGCATGGCCCAGACACCTCGTCCCAGCCTGAGCAGATAACAAGGCTCTTTCCAGGGGGAGAGCCAAAGGAAGGGAGGTGGAGACGGACACCTGGCTGGGGGGCAGGGCCTGGGAGCTGGGGAGTTTTGTCAGAGGAAAACATGAAGAGAAGAGACTAAGCTGATTACTGGGGGTTTGAGGCCCTGGGGTGCCCTGCCCCAAGGGGTCTGAGGCTGCCTGGAGTTTTGTCAGAGGAAAACATGAAGAGAAGAGACTAAGCTGAGTACTGGGGGTTCGGGCTCTGTGGTCCCCTGCCCCAAGGGGTTTGAGGCTGCCTGGCCCCTCGCTTCGATGCCCACATAGAACCCGGGCTGTGCTGTACCTCGCAGAAGGAATAAACCTTCTCTAGTCTACTAGCTGCCAGAGTCTCATCTTGCTGGAGATGGGGTGCAGGGTCGCGGGGTCCCCGATGCACTGCCACACCTACGCTGCTGGATATTCTGTGTATGGGTAAGAATGGCCCTGGTGCTCTGTTTCCAGGGTGGGTCTAAGGGCTCTAAAATCTCAGCTTACTTGGATTGCTCTGAAATTTGATGCGCTGTGGGGCAGGCGAGAGATGCAGCTTTCTAGCTGCCCCCGGTGCTGCCAGTTCCAATTCGTACCATTTTACACACGGAGATTCAAGTCCTGAATCCCAGAACCTGGGCACAGGGACCATTTCCCTAGGCAGGTGAGAAGCACTGGGATGGGTTCCCTGGGAAGGGACTGGAATCTCCATCCCTAGAGGTTTTTAAGTCCTGGCTTAACACAGCCCTGGCTGGGTTGATTGAGTTGGGTTTGGTCCTGCCTTGGGCAGGGGGCTGGACTCGATGACTCCTGAGGTCTCTTCCAGCCCTGGGATTCTGTGGTTCTATGAAACTCACGTCGCTCTGTGCATCTCTACGGTGGTGGGACGCGAAACATGTGTGAAGAAACCGTCTGGTCCAAATAATCGATTTTTTGATTGTGCCTCCCCCTCCAGATTTCTGGACTCGTCTTCATTTTCGTGGTCGGCGTGATCTTTTTCATACAGAAGAAATGGCTGGCTCCGTACTGCACTGACGAAGATGAAAGCAACAAGGCCCAAGGAGACACTGAAATGGGGGTTCCTCTGAGCACAAAGCAGAAATGCGTGCAGGCAGTGGTGACGGACGTCTTGGAACCTCGTCTCTCAGAGTGTGTGGATAAAGTTTTGGCCGTTATGCAAGGAGAGGGCTATCAAAGACCTTAGAAAGGAGCCAGCTAGCAAGTGTGAAAAATTGTGACTCTGTGTGTGTGTGGGTGTGTGTGTGTGTGTGTGTGTGTGTGTGTGTAATAGAGTTCTACGGCCCTCTTCTCCCGCCCCCTTCAGTGGGCATGGACAAGACCCCGAGTCCCTACGTCAAGTTCCATTCACGTGGGACCCACTGACCCAAAGTCAATAAACAAAGTCACTGTCTGGCCCTTTAAGGCAAGAGTTGTGTCGGCGGGTCACGGATGTGGTGGGGCCGCACCCCTGGTAGGGGGACCCACCCTACTCCACCGGGTCCCGGTCCTGGCCCAGGGCTCTGTGAGTGGCTGACGGTGTAACACGCCAGGGTTCCCGGGGTGGGAGGGGCTGTTCCCGCCCCTGTCCTGGACCACTCCGTACTTAGTACGAGTCTGATGAGGCCTCTTTCCACGTTCTCGCAGGGTCCTCTGCATTCATGGGGGTGACTCCTCCCCTACGGACGACACCCCGACTGCCCCTGATACCTCTGCCGCTGCTCCTGGGGTCGCTGGTGGCTGCTGGTCAGGAGCTCCCTCCCTAGGCCCTTCCCCTTCGGCAGCCAGCCTAGACTGAGCCTTCCCAGGCATTTATAGCTGAGATGTGGCCTGGGCATGCTCGGTAGGGCTGTGGGGGCAGGGCCTCTGCAGCTAGGGATCCCTGGATGAGCCCTGAGAGTTCAGTGCGGGGCTGCCTCGCCCCATCACAGGTCCTTAATAATGGGACATTTTGTGCCCTTCTCTTGACCAAAAAGCTGAGCTCAGCACCCTAGCTATTGGAAGTTGATCTCCAAGTCGTTCTGGTGTCCAGAGCCCCAGCGAGGGTCCCGCCAGCCCCCCGCCCACTAGACACAGCCCCGTGCACCCTGGCTCTGACATCACCCGCCAGAACGACACCCGACCCCAACAGGACGTGCAGGCCCAGCCGACGGGAGCGCTGAAATCTACAGGGTCCGGGAGGAGTTTGGGCCAAAGCAGGACCCAGCTGTGCCCGTGCACAGTCCTCAGCCAGTCCCGTGAAGCCTGGGGTGGGGGGCTGGTGGTGGCCCAGGAGAACGGGGGGCTCTGAGGGGGTTGCTAGTGAGGGGTCTCGCAGGCCAGTGTGGCTCACAGAGGAGCGCTGTGTGAGGGTCTCGGGGCCTTGCCGCGGGGGGTCCCCCGTCCTGGGCTGGCCCTGGTGGCTCTGACTTTGAGTCGTTCACCCAGATTGGACCCTCTCTGTGGGGCCCCACAAACCTGTGAAATTCCACCCGGCACCTCCCAGAATCTTCGCACACCCCCATCCCAGTGCACAAGGAGTAACGGTAGTTCGGAATAGGACCCTAGTCCGAACTACCTAGTTCGAGCCCCGTGTAGCCGCGCTACACGGGGTTCGAAGCAGCGGGGATTTAAAAATGGCGGCTCCCCGCTTATGCTAATGAAGCCCGGGAAATTCAAATCCCGGGCTTCATTAGCAAGCTCCCACCCATCCCATCCTGCATGTCTAAAAGTGGGGTTCCCACGCTGGGGAGATAAAGTCACGATGAGAGTTCAGATTTTAGTGGGGGTGGGAGCGACCTGAGCGTACTGTGATGGGGGGAGAGTGAGGGAGAACATGGCAGGGGGAGGGGAGGAGGGCAAACGGTGAAGTGAATGCAAACTGTTAGCTGCTCAGGGCTGGCGGCGGTGAGCCCTTTGTGAAGCTGTGCAATGGGTAGTGGACACCCGGCTTTAACCCTCGATCTTGGGGCAGAGAACTCAGCAATTTGCTGACATTAGCCCTGAATCTAATTCCTTTATCATTCCTCCAACAATAACACATTCTCCCCTCTTGCGGCAAGTCACAAGGGACCTGGGTTCGCCTGAGAACTGTAAGATATATTCTGCTTCGTTACAAACTCTGCAGAGAAAGGGAGGGGCTGTCAGAGGCTGTCCCGGGCTCTGTCTCAGCTCTAGGGGGGCAGTGGGGTCTAGCGGGTTAGAGCTGGGGGTAGATTTATCTGGGCTCTCTATAAGGACATGAGTACGGCCACGCTGGCTCAGATGAGTGGTCCGTCTAGCCCCCTGTCTAGCCCCAAAGAGGCAATTGTCAAATGGTCCGTCCCCTGTCGTCCATTCCCAAAGAGACACCAGGGAGGCTCCCTCCAGTTCTCTCTCATTCCCCTTCCGGGGTACGTCAGCAGGCATGTGGCTCACCTGTGGCCTCCACGCCCAGCCCCCTCCCCTCCAGGGCAAGCCACAGTTAATATGGGCCACGCCCTGGCAGCAAGATGTAATGCAAGGGGGAAGGAGGGGTCCCAAGCCCACCCAAGGACCCTCCGGTGGCAGCCTTGTCCTGCCCTTCTCTGCTCCCCTTCACGGCCTTCTGTTCCCGGGGACTCCTGCACCCTCCTGGCCCTTGTGGCAAGGCCGTGGCCTGGCAGGAATCAGGCAGGAGCCTCCTCCTCTAGTCCCCTGAGCCTGCCCAGTGCTGCTCTCACAAAGGTGCTTCCTTAGGAACCAGGTCCTGCACCTTCCCTGGCCAGGCCCTGAGTGCCCTCTTTGCTGGGCAGCTCCCTATATGCTGGGCTGCCCCAGGAAGCCCCCTAATCGATTCTTTACAAGCTTCCCCCGATTGGCCAGGGCTCTGAGCTGGCTCCTTCCAGCCGCATTGCCCCCTTCTGGCCAGTGAGGCAGCTGCCCCACCCCAGGGAGGAAGCCGGTGGCCAAGCAAGTGAAGGCCTTTCGGGCCACCTGGCACACGACCTTTGGAGAACGATGGATCCTCACCATCTAGGGTGTCAGTAGGGGGGGCTGGACCTCAGCCATTCTCCTACAGGCTGGATGTGGGGGTGGGTGCCGATGGAAACGATCCGGGTGATGTATGTGTGTAGGCAATACCCTCTATCTGGGCTGTGGGTGACCCCTACTGGCCTGTGTCTGTAAGTCTGTAGACGGTGACCCAACCGGATTCCACCTGTTGAGGGCAGGGACTGAGCAAAGGAAGGGAGTGTTCGGGGAAGAGTCAGTCTGTCGGTTGGGGGAACTATGAAGGGGTCAGACGAAGCAGAGGGTTGGGAGTTTAGGCATCTCATTCCAAGGGGTCTGAGGCAGCCTGGTCCTGACTCCTGTAGCCACATCACATCTATGCTGTGCTGTATCCTGGAGAAGCAATAAAGCCTCTCTGTTCTGGCTGCTACGGGGGTGCAGGATTGGGTGGAGATCCCCGACGCACTCTCACAATCCCAAGAACCAATATGGCAAGTCCAGGTTGGGGAAAATAATGCTCCGTTTGTAGTAGGGTCAGAAGTATCCTATCTGCACATGGGGTTAATATGGGCAGAACCGGGGAATACCTCACTCGGTCTGTGTTAGGTCAGAAGTATCCTATCTGCACATGGGGTTTGAGACAGAGCCCCCCGCTCCCCCATGCTTTATGAAATGGACCTGTGCATGTGACGATACATAACTCAAAGGTGGTTTGAGCGAATTATTTCATGTAACCCATCGATCTGCATGTCACAGTCTGCTGGTTCTGTTCGTCTTACTCCGTTGTATGTCTCATTTGCGTGTGTGAAATTAGACACATGGAAAGGGGGATACTTGGTGAGTTCCAAATGTGTGAATGAGAGATATGGCGGGTGTTACCCGCAACTGTTACATTATCTTCGGTCTGAGCTGTGGTTGGTAGCGAGTGGCCTCAGCTCCTTAACAAATGGTTTTCTTTTTTTTTATTTGTAACCTGCTTTGCTCTGCCTGTCGTCACTTATTCCCACTTCAATCCTGCTGCTTCCACTTAACAAACCCATTTTTCTTTCTCTCACACCCAGTGTAAGCGATTGTTCCCTGGGGGCAACCAGCGTGGGGGCTCCCCTAATTCCTCGGGGTCTGATCCCATCTGGGGAGCGCTCTCTCAGGAGGCTGGGCCCTAAACTGCACTCTCCTTGGCCTTGAAGTGGTTCAGTGTCTGTACTGCTTCTCTGTGGGGGTACAGAGCTGAGCTCGGGGCCTTAGCTGGGGGAGACCCGTGGTGAGGAGCCGCAGAGAGCAGGAAGGCAAGTGGCAGGGGCCGTGTCAGCCCCCTGGGAGACCCCCCCCCCGAGGGGTCGTCTGTGACCGCGCCCCGTCACAGTGGCGCAGTGAGCCGGGTCAGTGTGCACAGCTAGTTGCTCTGGTTGCTTGTCGCAAGGGGATGTGGATTGCAACAGCTGTAAGCGCTGAGGAGAAGGGATCACCACGCGGGAGTGTAAAGGGTCTGTTGATTCACTTACAACAGGGAAGGGAGGGGGATCTCACTCATACACTCAGCCACACGGACAGTCCCAGGCAGGACGATAAGGCGAGCAGAAGGCAGGTCACGGCATCTGATCATCCCCAGTTGACTCCTGAGCTGGTCTGCTGGCCGGGCGTTCTGGGCAGGGCTGTCCTTAGGATTTATGGTGCCCTACGCAAAATTCTTAAACTGTGAATGCAAATTCTGAAGGACTCATTAAGTCATCAGAGGAGAAAATCATCTTTGCAGAGATGTAGCACAAATTTTAGGCTCCCCCTAAATGGTCCTCGGCTCTCTCTAGCACACTGGTCCCCAACGCAGTGCCCGCAGGCACCATGGCGCCCGCCGGGGCATTTGTGTGCGCCCACGCAGCAATCTGGGCTGCCCCCACCCCCGGGCGTGTGGCAGGGGCCAGCCCCGGGCACATGGGGGGCTCCCTTAGAAAGCAGCCTTCCCTCTGGCCTACTCTCTCCCAAAACTAACTCCTTGAGACACTGCACCCTTTCACTTAAAGTTCTATTCTCCTCCTGGACATGCTCCTGTTCTTCTTCTGCAGCTGCCACTTGTATGGCAGCAACAGAAAGAGAAGAGGCTTGGGCGCTGGCTGTAAGCACCTGAGCTTTCCACATATCTCGTTCTTTCTCCAGTTCCTTCTTCTGTTCCTTCAACTGCTCCACATCCTGTGCTAGCTGACTCTTAGCTGCCTGCCACGATGCACTGCTTGTCACAGCATCCAGGCAGCTGCTCTCTCCTTACCTCCCCTGTCTGGCTTATACAGTCACACGTATTTCTCCATCATTAGTTCCAAATCAGTCACTGAAGCACCCGAAAGGACCCCTCCATTGAGTCCCCCTTTAATTCGGATCCATTCCCTTAGGCGTCCGGGCGTAGGTGCTGCACTCCACCCTTCTGGGAGTCCTTTACACCTCCATTTCCTTCACCCCACATGGGCATCTTGTTGTCGGGAACCTGGACTGTGCGCCGTGGGGTGCTAGCCTACCACGTTTCAACGCACCCCAGTCCCCCAAAGTTCACCGTTTCAACTTCCCGGGGGGGGAAGGACTTATCCTGTTGACTTATCCCCTCCTCCCCGGCATCTCCACCAAAAATGTCGCAAGGGGATTGGATTGTGACTGCTGTAAACACTAAGGAGAGGGGATCACCACGCGGGAGTGTAAAGGGTCTGTTTATTCATTACAACAGGGAAGGGAGGGGGATCTCACTCATACACTCAGCCACACAGACAGTCCCAGGCGGGACGATAAGACGAGCAGAACGCAGGTCACGGCATCTGATCGTCCCCAGTTGACTCCTGAGCTGGTCTGCTGGCCAGGCGATCCGAGCAGAGGGCGTTCTGGGAGGCTCTATTGATGGTCACCCCACTGTGTCTCTGTCCCTCTGTCCTTTTAGGATCAGCCACGTGCAGCTTCTGCGTCTCTAGGCCTCTAGGGGCGTGTGCTCTGTTGTTTACTCCTGCGGTTTACCTCAGAGTTTTCCCGCCTCCGGTGTCCACCTCAGACACTCTTCTGCACTCACTCAGGGAAGGAATAGGGGTTCGCAGATAACACTTGAACAGTTTAGGGAACCAAATAACATCATTAAGGGTATGTCTAGACTACATGGCTCTGGCGCCAGAGCCATGTAGTCTAGACATACCCTTAATGATGTTATTTGGTTCCCTAAACTGTTCAAGTGTTATCTGCGAACCCCTATTCCTTCCCTGAGTGAGTGCAGAAGAGTGTCTGAGGTGGACACCGGAGGCGGGAAAACTCTGAGGTAAACCGCAGGAGTAAACAACAGAGCACACGCCCCTAGAGGCCCAGAGACACAGAAGCTGCACGTGGCTGATCCTAAAAGGACAGAGGGACAGAGACACAGTGGGGTGACCATCAATAGAGCCTCCCAGAACGCCCTCTGCTCGGATCGCCTGGCCAGCAGACCAGCTCAGGAGTCAACTGGGGACGATCAGATGCCGTGACCTGCGTTCTGCTCGTCTTATCGTCCCGCCTGGGACTGTCTGTGTGGCTGAGTGTATGAGTGAGATCCCCCTCCCTTCCCTGTTGTAATGAATAAACAGACCCTTTACACTCCCGCGTGGTGATGAGAAAGAGAACGACATCCATTTTAACTCATTCCTTGCTCCTCCTTTGCCTCCAACAGTAGTGATTCGAAGTGGGTTCTACGTGTGGTTTTTGGAAGGCAGAGAAAGGGGTTACTGGTTTGTTATTTGCCGTTTGCTTATGTCGAGTCAGGGAAATGAGTGAGAGGGAGGTGCAGAAGGAACGGGAGCGGTACAGAATCCAGGAAGCAGCCAAGGCGGCGGAACACCGGAGACCGGTGGAGTGAAAGCGGCGTGAGATAGAGGCCATAAAACCCAAGCTGCCCACGGGGAAGCCCTAAAACGAATCCGACTTGGAATGGACAGAGAAGGAAGCGCTGGAAGAGCTGCTCAAGAGAAGAGGGGGAAAGAGAGGATGCAGGATCTGGCCATACTGGCTGAGCACGTTGTGCCGTTGATCCGGGGAAATAGCCTCTGTAAGGTGGCTGAGTCCATCGCAGGGGTAAGGAATCTTGTGCTGAAATCCCAGATGGGGAGGGATGTGCCACAGGCGCTGGGGAGAGGACAAGAGAGAGTCAGTCTCATTCTCCTCCAGCTCAGCTGGACAATTTGCAGGAGGAAGCCAGCCCTGACCCCGAGTCATTGTCCAGGATCAGTGGGTCTGTCCAGGCTGGGGTATGGGTACAGCAGGGGGGCAGATCCAATCCTGGGAGGCGCAGAGGTGTGTGCCTTGGAGCAGAGCCTTAAGGCAGAGGCTGGAGACCAAAAGGCTACTGGGGGAGGTGAGGAACCCACAGGCTTGGATCCTGAGAGTTTACCCCATGAGGAAACAGGGCAGGCTGCGGGGCTTCTCAAAGAAGCTGGGTGCTGGGTGCCTACAGCTGGACAGGTGGCAGATGGCCCTGAGGAGGGGGTCCTCCATGTTTGACGGGGGTGCTGGGAGACAGATGCTGGGTGTGTATCTGCAAACCCGAGCTGCCCATCGGTCAGCCATGCTTCAGGGGGGAGTGGGGAGTCTGGCCTTTAGCCTCATGGAAGCAGAAACTCGGTACGAGTGGGAACCCCACTGGGTCAGAACACACAAGCGTCAGACACCGAATTGGCACCGGATTTGAGACAGGGCGGTAGAAATCCCAGGCTGTCTGTAAGTACATGGGCCTGCTAATATAACACCTCAGGGAAGGAGTGAGGAATACCTCAGCAGCGGGAGGGATAAGCCTTTCTTTAGGGAACAAATTCCTTCCCAGAGTCTGCGAGGGGTGCTGGCTATGGCCCGCACATGCCTCACGGATGAGAGAGAGACACCGATTGTGCAATGCACCTCTTGGGACATAGAGAGTGGGAAAGGGGGAAGAAGTACAGTGCCACACAAATGATCTAGAGAGGGACAACCAACTTGCATGGCTGTGTAGGAGGGGAAACTGAGGCACGCCGCCTCACAAACAATACCAAGACATTGGCATATGGAGCGACATTGCTCTCTGCATTTGGGGGGCACTACTCTACCCCCATGTGTTTTGGATCATTGCGGGATAGGAACCTGCAACTTTGGAAGACCTGCCAGGATGACAGCATAAGCTTTGGTGACACTGGATCATTGTGGGATATCATTGATCATTGTAGACGGAGCGTGGTCCTGCCTTGAGGGTGGGGGGCTGGACTCGATGACCTCTTGAGGTCCCTTCCAGTCCTATTATTCTATGATTCTATGATTCTGGATGGTTGTACAGCCAAGCCCAGGTGGATGTCTGGATACACGGCCTTCGCACTGGACACTGTCCATCCCTCTGGCAGTAATTTCAGGGGGAGGGTGTGACGGACCCCTCCCCCATGCTTTTTGAAATGGACCCATGGACGCGATGATACAGAACTCAAAGGTGGGTTGAGCGAATTATTTCATGCAACCCATCGATCTGCATGGCACGGTCTGCTGGTTCTGTTCATCTTACTCCGTTGTATGTCTCATTTGCGTGTGTGAAATTAGACACATGGAGGGGGGATACTTGGTGAGTTCCAAATGTGTGAATGAGAGATATGGCGGGTGTTACCCGCAACTGTTAAATTATCTTCGGTCTGAGCTGTGGTTGAAAGGGAGTGGCCTCAGCTCCTTAACAAAGGGAATAGGAAAGGAGAGGCCTGGGTCTTTGGCTGGGCTGCCCCTGAAGGAGGGGGCCAGGGACCCCAGCGGGTGGAAGACAGCCCAGGTTTGGAGGGGCAGCTGGAAAAGCGGTTTTCGGGTGAGTTTGATGACGTTTGTACTGAGGTTTCAATGTCGAATTCGCCAAGCAGTTTTCTTTCTTTTGATTTGTAACCTGCTTTGCTCTGCCTGTCGTCACTTATTCCCACTTCAATCCTGCTGCTTCCACTTAACAAACCCATTTTTCTTTCTATCACACCCAGTGTAAGCGATTGTTCCCTGGGGGCAACCAGCGTGGGGGCTCCCCTAATTCCTCGGGGTCTGATCCCATCTGGGGAGCGCTCTCTCAGGAGGCTGGGCCCTAAACTGCACTCTCCTTGGCCCCGAAGGGGTTCAGAGTCCATACTGCTTCTCGGTGGGGGTAGGGAGCTCAGGGCCAGGGCTGGGGGAGACCAGCAGAGCTGGCCCAGCAGGACCGGGCAGTGAGGAGCCCCAGAAAGTGGGAAGGCGAGTGGCAGTCACTGTGTCAGCACCGAGGGGTCGCCTGTGACTGCACCCCGACACAGGGTTAATATGGGCAGAACCGGGGAATACCTGGGTGGGATGGTCACAAGCACCCCCGTCCTACAGTGCACAGAGACGGTATCCACTCAGCACTGGGTGGAACAGGGAAATAGAATTCGTTGGGCGGGATCGGCAAGGCTCAGTGGTGAGGCTCCGGAGGGTGGAAGATGCCTGGGAAAGGTGGGTTCGGTTTGGGTCCTTTCTCCCTGCAATTTGGAAACTCCTTATAAGATTTACATCCCCGCTGTGCAACAACTTCCCCTGACCGCACCCCTGAGGATGCCAACTAATAGGACTAAAGCAAAACCTGAGCCTAGCTGGATAAAGTGGGACACCGGGACACACCTGTTAAAGCAGCTCCGGGCTGAGCCATGTCCAGTACAGCCCTGGGAACCCGGGCCATGCAAGGGACTAATGCCTTGCAGCTGGCCACTGAACTGCCTGCAGATTGCGCTTGGACTGACGTAGCCTGTGCCCTTCGGACAGGCCTAACGAACACTCATTCACGCCTCCCTCAGATTGTTTATACTCTTGGAATTTTGATCCTGCTGATTGCTCTGTTCATGTTACTGAGGGCAGGTATAAGGCTGTGCCCTGCCCTGGCTGCTCCCCAGAAATCGACCTCGTGGATGACTTGCCTTTCCCATCTCCCCATAGCATGACCAGTGGAACAAGGTACTGGGCAGTTAGAGCCAGGGCCTGTAGCCCCGGTACCCCGTCAGCCAGTGTGCGGGAAGGAGGGGTGCTTCGGCCCTTCTTCGAAAGAGAGTGGGGGCGTGTTGGGATATGTAAAAATGAAAACGTCTGAAATGGCTCTACATTCATGTAATAGTTCTGAAATGGCTCTACATTAGTGGGGAAAGGCATGCAGCCTTACTTTGTTGTGTCTTTTGCTTATCCTAGTCATGGGCACTATATAAAATATCTTCAGGGTCAAATCCCTTGTAATCTCTGCAACCTGTTAATTTGTAGCATAGCCATGTGATGATTTCATTAGAAAGTCTGTGAATAGTAATTCGGGGCTGGTATAATTATATTCATTATTTGCTTATTAATATTCATTTTATGGGAGTTAACAGTACTAGATAAGGTTCAGGAAAAGCAGTGATCGCCGTGTGAATTAACTTACTAAAATAGATCAAAGATTCTAACTACTGCCGACTTGTTCCCACTCAGACGCTGTGTTGAATGTCCGAGGGAAACGTGTGTAGGCAATAAAGCAATTCCTTTCACCCCATCCGCTCCTGGGTCGCCTGGTTCTTCTCTAACAGCTGCCACTATAGAGGGATGATTGTCGCTGACAAAGTCTCGTCCAAGGAGATGCTGAGGATAAGCGATGTGGAAAACTAGAAATCGTTTCTAACCCGACTTCTCGAGACCCTCCTGAAACCAATGCCCTGCCGTTTGCAAACAGTCTTCTTAGCTAAACACCACCACTTCATGGGAACCCCAAGAACGGGGAGGTTTTTTAACCAGGCAATATTTTCACTTTCATTTTCACTCAACAAAATTACTTGTCGAAGTCGAGGTGTCCCAGAGCTCAAACGTTTCGCCATCGTTTCTCCCTGGCTGTGAGTTGGCCAAGGTCTGGTTTGGGGGCGCAGAATGGATCCGAGGAAGAAATTTTTTGAAACATGGAAAGATCAATTTGGCATTGTCTCGACATCGGTTTGCGCACTGATTTTGGTAGCGTTTGAAAAAATTATGGAGACGGAATTTAGATGCCCCGAAGAGGCGAGCTGGAGGGTCTATTACAGTCTCTCCTATTTTCTTATTCCAGCTGTTGTTTTGTTTCTGCTGACCGTGGTTTTCCTGCCTATTGTGGGCCAAAAACGTAACCTAAGAGCTTCTTGTCGGGCTTTGATGAAAGCTCTTGGGCCCTCGCTGATATGGATGACCCTTCTTCTCCTGGATGGACGATACTTTACTTGCACGTGTAAAAATTTTCTAAACATAACCACCCTGACCTGTGATGAGGAGCAGCCCATCAAGTGTTATGTAATATCGCAGGTAGGGCGCGGCTGTCTTAGCAGATTCTTCACTGAGCATTTTGCTCTCACTTCTCTTAGATTCTTTGTCGACTTTGCTACTTGCACGTGTAAAAATTTTCTAAACATAACCACCCTGACCTGTGATGAGGAGCAGCCCATCAAGTGTTATGTAATATCGCAGGTAGGGCGCGGCTGTCTTAGCAAATTCTTCACTGAGCATTTTGCTCTCGCTTCTCTTAGATTCTTTGTCGACTTTGCTTCGGTGTTTTGGGGTTTTTTCGGTGTCCAGTGCTGAACACTGACGGGGTCTCAAGCGTTTGGAAACAGCCCTAAGTGTATAAAAAGGAACCAGGTGATGGGGTCGCCCAGGTATGGGGGGGGTCACTGGGCCCTGGACCCCCATCTACCACCAGACCTGGCTCTTAGCAGGCAGAGAGAACAGCAAGATTTCAGACGACAGGGACAAGTGCTGCCAGGACAGCCCAGCTTGGGAACAGAGGGACCCCGAGCCAGGGCTCTGCCCTCTCCCTGGTTCCCCAGCCCTCCGAGACAGCCCCACTGCCCACAGCCAGGCTGCACCTCTATCCTGTCTCCTGCTTCCCAGGCCAAAGATGTCACCTGGTTGCATCCCCTCCTGCACTCGGCCATGGTGTGCCTGCGGGAGGCTGTGCGATGGGTTCCCGACCCTGCACCCCCTCTGCAGCCAGACGTGACTCCCATCCACCTAGTAGAGTAGAAGGTTTGTTGGTTCTCAGGGACACGGCATAGCACAGGATGGGGGTGAGCACAGGGACCCAGCGCAGACGCCTTCTTCCTCTCGGGGAGAGGGGCACCGTGCCATTTACACCCCCCCCCCCCCCCCCCGTCC